TGTAGATTTCCTGTTCTGGACACTTCATATAAATAGATCACACAGTACGGGGTTGTGTATCTTTCACTTAGCGTAATATTTTTGAGGTTCATCCACTTTGTAGCTTGTATCGGTCCTTCATTTCCTTTTATTGCTGAATTCGTATTCCATTGTATGACTACACCTCATGTTGTTTACTCATTTATCATTTGATGTCTGCTGAGTTGCTTCCACTCCGTTACTACTATGAATAATGCTACGATGAACATTGTACACATTTTTAGAGAAAGGAGTAAGATATTTTCACTTCTTAAAAACATTTCATGTGGATAAATAATAAAATCCGATATCAAATAGCTACTTTTCTGATCAGTTCAGTTCTGACAGCAGCGGCTCGTGTACTTTTTTGTCTGACCCTAGCCACCTGGAGCTTGGTCAGAGCTACAAGTTAAAGGACAGCGTCCTCCAGACTGCCAGGTAGGCACACACCAGCTGCAGGTTTGGGAGCCCACATGACATCCTCACTTCTGACCTGCTGGCTGCAAATTTAGGGATTCCCTCTTTCCCTTCAGGATGCCAGCTGCAAGCTCGGGAGTCCCCCTGGACCCCGTCACTTCTGACCTGCCCGCTCCCACTACTCCTTTGGGCTTTGCTGGAATGACTCACAGAACTCACGGAAAGTGCTTTGTAGAGCTTACAGTCACGGCTTTATTGTCGGAAAAGTGTGCAGAGGAAGACACACAGGGCGAGTCCCAGGAGGATTCCCAGCATGGAGCTTCTGCGTCGCAAAAGGGACGTGCTATCCTCTCGTGAGGAGTCCCTGGTGGGCAGATGGTTAAATGCTTGTCTCCTAACTGAAAGGTTGGTGTTTGAACCCACCCATAGGCTCCTCGGAAGGAAGGCTTGAAGATCTGCCTCCGAGAGGTCATAGCCTTGAAAACCAAACGGAGCGTGGTTCTGCTCTGCAAACACACGGGGTTGTCGTGAGTCGGAATTGACTTGATGGCAGCTGGTTTGGTTTTGGTTTTTCTCCTCTCTTTGACCAACCGGGAGGCTCATGGAGCATCAGTGTCCAGAGGTTTATTGGGTGTCTTACTATGTAATGCAAATTCCAGCCCGCCTTCCTTGAGGTTACTTGATATCACGAGGTGATCGTGAGTATTACGTGATGGGTCTTGCTTTGGCAGCCCCCGCCCTGGAGTCACCTCATCACCTCACCCGACCTGTCAGGTGTGGTCTGGAGTTCTTATCGGAGACACTCAAATTCCAAGGTTTTTTTTAGAGGCTGTGTCTCAGGAATCGAGGGCAAAGACCGAATTCCTTGGGTAAAGTTGATGTAAACCTCACACCTTTCCTTAGATTATTTTTTGTGTTTTTGTTTGTAGGAGACAGCATTTAATGAAAAGTCCACGCTTAAGGGGTGAAAATGGCAGGCTTCCTGGATAACTTCCGTTGGCCAGAATGTGAGTGTATTGACTGGAGTGAGAGAAGAAATGCAGTGGCCTCCGTGGTAGCAGGCATATTGGTGAGTGAGAAGGCCTGGTGGGTGAGTTGTTCGCCTCATCTTTTGCCTTAGAAACTAACATTGATCCCTCCACCTTTCCAGAACTGTTGTTTTGTGTAAATAATTACCAGAGTTCTGGATACTGTTACTAAACAGTAC